TCTGGGAGCTGTAGTCCAAAACACCTGGAGGACCAAAGTTTGGGAATCACTGGGCTAGAAAGATGGCTTTTCTAGTGGGACAGAAAGAGTAGCTGTTGCTTTTCAGTTCTGTTGGAGGCATATTCTTCAGCCCTAGAAAGGGAAGGTACCAGCTTGCCATTTTGTCCCACCGAAAGGGATGGACAGTAATGAAAAATAGTATGTATAAACACTGAAACTCAAATGAGGAGAGAGAGGTGATAATGACAGCATGGCTGAGGAGCGACTGATCATTACGAGCAGATATGTAATCAATATATTGGTTGTTTTTATATAAGCATCATCCTACATAAAGGGATGGCTCTACTGTTACGCAAATTGAAGCACAAACGTATAGTGTAAAGAAGCACATTGTTAATTATTGGTTTGCTACAATATTCTTACTGCCAGGAGTATGGGAAGAGGGGAATGGTTTGGGTTTTCTTCCTCAAGTGCCAAAACGATATTGTTGTGTGGTAACTATTTTAGCTTAAATAATTATTTTTTAGGGACTAAAGGCCTAAGCAGACTGCCAGAAATAGTGCACATTAAATTGAGGCACTGCCCTGGCTGAGTGCTAGGGAGTCATGGGAATTGTATTTTTTTCTGAGACACTGAACCTTCTCTGTCAGAGAGCTCTGGTGCCACAATAAACTACAGTTCCCATGATTCCCTAGCACTGAGCCAGGGCAGTGCCTCAATTTAATGTGCGCTATTTCTGGCAGTCTGCAAAGGCCCTAAGACTATAATGATAGGTAACTACTTTGGTGAGTATATACCTAGGATGTAACTGGAGCGCACTAGTAACTTCCTGAGCTCTGATTGTGGGGATCAATGGGCAAAGCGAGTTCTACAAATCTCCTTTTACCCTACTTTTAGGGGTAAAGGCTTTGTTTCTTAATTACATTTAGATAGCCTGTAGTGGAGGGGATTAATAATGTTGTTGTTGTTGTTATGTGCCTTCAAGTCATTGCTGATATATGGTGACCCTAAGGCAAACCTGCCATGGGGTTTTCTTGGCAAGATTGCAGAGGAGGTTTGCCATTGCCTTCCCCTGAGGCCGAGAGCATGTGACATGTCCAAGGTCACCCAGTGGATTTCATGGCCAACCTGGGAATTGAACCCTGCTATCCAGAGCTGTAGTCCAACATTCAAACCATAATGCCGCCTTGGCTCCAATATTATAACAACACATTTTTTCCAGCCTCTCCTCAAGGCTCGAGGCAAGGTACAGCCTGTTAAAATAGAAAACACCATTAAAAACAAATAAACACACAATTAAAATACGGTACTAATGATTTTAAATATTAAAATACACTCATAAGAGTTCCTGTACAGATTAAAAATTCATGATTTAAAATTGACAGGGTTGGCCTGCCAGAAGAGATATGTCTTTAAGGCTGTTTGAAATGCAGTCAGAGTTTTCAGGTGTCATTATTATTATTATTATTATTATTATTATTATTATTATTATATCTCTTCTGGTAGGTTGTTCCACAATCTGGGGGCAGCAGATGCAAAAGATGCAAAAGAATGTTGCCACTCTAGTCCTGGCTGGTTGGAGTAAACATTTCCCAGAGAAACTGAGTGTACAGAGTAGTAGATTGTATGGGAGAAGGTGATCCTGTAGATATATATATAAAAAAAAATACTAAACAGTCAGTAAAAATCACAACTAAAAATACAGCATGTAGTGCCTTGAAGTTGTTTCTGACTTGTGTCAACCTTATCATGGGGTTTTCTTGGCAAGATTTGTTCCGAGGAGATTTGTCATTGCCTTCCTGAGGCTGAGAGAGTGTGACTTGGCCAAGGGCACCCAGTGGGTTTCCATGGCCGAGCCAAGATTCAAACCTTGGTCTCCGGAGTCCTAGCTCAATGCTCAAACCAATATGCCACGCTGGCTCTCATCTCTATATAGACAACAATGTGTGTGTACAACAGATATATATTCCTCTAAGTTCCGTGTCAAAGTATTACGAGTGTAAAAAAACAACAACAATTAAACTGGTAGAAAAACATGAAATACGTCCCAAAAGAAGAAGTCTTAGCTTAGCATCTAGATGTGGCCCAATGCCAGATGGATTTCCTTACAGGGAGCATTCTACAAGGGAACAGGCTTTCAGAAAGAAGGACATAGGTCCCTACCAAAACCGAAGGAGGAAAATCATGAAATGGAATAGGGAAGGCAGGAAACAGGGTAGAGTTGGAGAAGCAGAGCTAACTTCAGCTAATGAGCAGATAGTGGAATTCTTGGGAGCAAGTAGTTACACATAACTTTGTTGTTGTTGTGTGCCTTCAAGTCATTTCTGACTTATGGCAACCCTAAAGTGAAGGGTTTCCTTGGCAAGATTTCTTCAGAGAGGGGTTGCATTGCCCTCCTCTGAGAGAGTGTGACTTGCCCAGCATTACCCATTGAGTTTCCATGGCCAAGTGTGAATTCAAACTCTGGTCTCCAGGGTAGTATTCCAGCACTCAAAACCACTATACTATACTGGCTTTGCAGATAATTAACTACCGGTACTTTTAACTAATTATTTCCCCCTTTCCTGTTTTAAGTGCAGTGGAGGCTGCTGTCCTTTTGCTAATATTGAAGTCAAGATTCAACTACAGCTATTAGTCAGTTTTAGTACACAACAACCACAAAGCTACATCATTGCCACTGTCTGCTACTAAAGCACAAGCCCAATTAACAACCACAAAGCTACATTTGATACACACACATCTCACAGTGTGCTGCTGTTGAGATGAAAAAAACTGAATAAATGTCATTTCATCATTTATTTTTAAAGCTGATACTACTCTTCTTACTCATGGGAGCTTCTCTGTAGTTTCCCATCAGAAGACTGATCATATCTGACCCTTCTTATGTTCTGCAGTGTTGCACACTATCTGGTTGCCTCAAGTTATTTACTAGCCCTGGTATGTTATGTGTATGTAACATGCGTGAGGCTGTGTGATGTAGTGCTTTAAATGCTGGACTAGGACTCTGGAGACCAGGGTTCAAATCCCCATTTAGCTATGGAAACTCACTGGGTGACCTTAGGCAGATCACAGTCTCTCAGCCTCAAAGGAAGGCAAAGACAAACATTCCCTGAACAAATCTTGAAAAGAAAACCCTATGATAAGTTCACCATAGGATCACCATGACTTGGAAATGACTTGAAGACACCCAAGAACAACAACACATACACTGTGCCCTTGGTATCCACTGGGGTTTGATTCCAGGATCCTGTGGATACCAAAATCCGTGGATGCTCAAGTCTTATTAAATACAGTGGTGTAGTGAAATAGCATCTCTTACATAAAATGGCAAAATCAAGGTTTGCTTTTTGGAATCTATATTTTTAAAAAATATTTCCAAGCCGTGGACACTTGAATCAGTGGAGGGCTGACTATATACCTCCTTTGTTTTCTCTCCAATAAGTTTTCAGATTTGTCACTACTAGTCTACATAGGTTCATATCCATATCCTCCAACCGTCCTGACCTGGGAGAGACAGTCCTGATTAATTCTCAGTCATCCCATTTTTTCAAATGCATTAAAAATGTACCAGTTTCTTTCTCCTCCTCTTACTTTTCCCTGTTGTCCCCATCTTATTTCAATTGCTGCAAAATGAGTTCAAATTGCAAAGGTAGTTTGTACTCGGTTAATTCGGTGGGGGGGGGGGAGGATAGGGCAGAATCTTGTCCTTCCCCGGAGGCTCAGACAAAAGCTACCTGCCGCAGCATCTCCTAACATCTGTGGCTTGGCTTATTACTAACTTCTGCTATCTTGACCACACACTGATATTGCTTGGACACACGTCTCCCAGTTTTTAATCTGTGAAACATTGGAGCATGTGCACATAACATTCCCGGAGGCCCTTATGTCATTATTTTTCCCCGTCTCCTGAAAAACTCTGTTCCAAAATGAGTACCTCTAAATCTGAAAAAACTCCTCTTGCTCTTGTTCCAATAAATAGACACTAAATAATCTTGGCAGCTCGGTCTTACTTAAACATTAGCAAAAGGACAATATTTTCCACTCCACTTAAGGCAGGGGTGGGTAAAATGCAACCCTCCAGATGTTGTTTCATACCAACCGAAGTGATGTTAAACTGAAGTCACTTTTTTAATGGGCCATATTTTGAACAGAAGGAGAGCACATAAAAGTGTATTTGATTAACAATTCTTTCCATGACAAGTTTTGTATATTCCTCACCTGCCCCAAATGCTTAGGTGCACACTTCTCTCCACACTTGTCCAAGCCCTTCACATACCTCAGCTGTTACCTTGGAAATCCAGGTAAAGGACTCTTGTAAAATAGCCAAGGAATGTATGTATGTACCTATCATATTCTTTGGGTTTTTTTAATTTTATTAATTAAAAATCAAAAGTACATACAAAAACCACAACCACCACCCCAAAACAAACAAACAAATGACAAATAATAACACCTAAAATCAGACAAACAAACAAAACAAACAAAAATACTTCCATGTCTTTCATGTCTTGTTATCGCATATCTCTTGTTTCACTTCAATTATTTAGTACCGTGTTTCCCTGAAAATAAGACACTCTTATATTTATTTTTCCTCAAGAAGACACAATACTTATTTGTCCTGACTCTGCGCGCCCATCCGCAGGGTGCGTAGCATCAAGGCGCCCTGTTAGCACAGCATGCATACACGCTGCACCAAAAGGTGCAAAAGAGCTGCGGCGGCGGCTCAAAGGGCAGCTTTTTGCCATCCCCGAAAGGAGCGGCTTGGGGGCGGCAAAAAGCAAGATCGTGGCCACAACGCTTTGAGATGCAGCTGTGGCTCTTTTCTGGGCTGCCCCTGGGAGCAGTGGATCTGCCGTTCCTGGGACATCCCAGAAAAGAGCCACCACCACGACTCAAAGGGTCGCAGCCATGCTCTCCTCTTTGCTGCCCCTGAAGGAGCGGCTTAAAAGGCCGCTCCTTTTGAGGTCTGCAAAGTCAAGGATCGTGGCAATTAAAACAAGTACAGATTCTGCACTCATGGGTTCAACCATCCACAGCTTGAATATATATATTTAAAAATTATCCAAAAACCTTGCTTTTTACCATTTTATATAAGAGACATTATTTTACTGACTCGTTGAATATAATGGGACTTAATCATCCACAAATTTTGGTATCCACAGGGGTGGTGGTGGTTATGGAACCACACCCCAGTGGATACCAAGAGCCCACTGTACTAATAATAATAATAATAACTGCAAACAACAATAGTTGCAATACAATTAAACCATCTGTGAAATTAAAATTATTTAAAATATACATTAAAAGGCAAGAATAAAAAAAATTGGGTGGTGATGGTGGTTTCAGGATTGGAGCTTAGCTGGAAAAGCATAAAAAGCGAGATTCCAAAGACCTAGTCATGTTAGTCTGGAAAATCAGTATGCAGAGGGGTCTTGTAGCACCTTTGAGACTAACTGAAAGGTAGATATGAAAGATATGAGCTTTTGTGGATTTGAGTCTACTTCTGCAGATGCATGAGAATCAGATAGTAGGCTCAAGTCTACCAAAGGTCATGCTACCAACTTCTGTCTTTCAGTTAGGGCCTTTGCAGACTGCCAGAAATAGTGCACATTCAATTGAGGCACTGCCCTGGCTCAGTGCTAGGGAGTCATGGGAATTGTATTTTTTTCTGAGACATTGAGCCTTCTCTGTCAGAGAGCTCTGGTGCCACAATAAATTACAGTTCCCATGATTCCCTAGCACTGAGCCAGGGCAGTGCCTCAATTTAATGTGCACTATTTCTGGCAGTCTGCAAAGGCCTAGTCTCAAAGGTCCCTTTGCATACTGAAAAGTGAGATTGAACCTCTTTGATCGCCAGCTGCTGACCACTAGGACAAGCCATCTAGTATGATTTGAGAGAGCTTGGCTCCATGTCATGATTTTGAATTGGCTCTTTCTGATGCAGCAGCGCTGAGGCTGGAGATCCTTGAAACAGAAAGTAGTGCCAGTGGGTGGTTTATTTAGCAGAAATATCAAAGTCATGCCTCCCTCCCCACTTTCTCTGTAACACCACTTGTGGGGGAGGGATTTTCTGAAATTAACCTTTCCTCCTAGTAAAGCTCTTGATTGACTTGAATCTTGAAGTCAGATTTGTAAAAAGGAGATTTTCTCACGTGTGCACATGAAAAACAGTGAGTGAGTGTATCCGGCCAAAGAGCTCTGAAACTAAGGCTGAATCTACATTAGCAAAATAATATTACATAGGGGGGTTGCAGACTGCCAAAAATAGTGCAAATTGAGTCC